TGTGAGGATAGGGCCTGGGCATTTGAATTTTTTTTTTTTAAATGCCCTAGGTGATTCTAATATTTGCCCAGGGTTGAGAATCGCAGCTCTAGATAAGAGGTCTGCAGACTTTTTCTCTAAAGGACCAGCTAGTAAATAGTTTAGGTTTTGTGGACCGTACAGACTCTGTTGAAACTACCCAGTCCCATACAGGCACTGCTCATTTTATTGTGCTTCGCTTTATTACGCTTCACAGATGTTGCGTTTTTACCAATTGCAGGCGAGGCCCTCCACCAGCAAAAGAGATTATCACTCTCTTTATTGTGATACTCGCTTTATTGGGGTGGCCTGGAACCAACCTGCAGCATCTCTGAGGCCTGCCTGGACTGAGAAAGCAGCACTGACAATTATGTAAATGAGTGAGATGGCTGTATTCCAGTTGTTTATATGTTTTGTTATTTATATACAGTAGTCCCTCCTTATCCTCAGTTTTGTTTTCTGTGGTTTTGGTTACCTGTGGCCAACCTCGATTTGATATTAAATGGAAAAACTCCAGAAATAAACAATTCATAACTTTTAAATTTTAGGCCATTCTGCATAGCGTGATAAAATCTCGGGGGGCCCAGGACGTGAATGACCCCTTTGCCCAGGGTTTCCACGCTGTAGACGCTCCCTGCCCAGTAGTCAGTTAGCAGCCATTTTGGTTATCAGATCAACTGTTGCTGCATCTCAGTGCTTGCGTTCACGTCACCCTTATTTTACTCACTAATGGCCCCAAAGCACAAGAGTCGTGATGCTGGCACTTTAGACATGCCACAGAGAGGCCGTGAAGTGCTTCCTTTAAGTGAAGAGGTGAGTACAGTATAAGATATTTTGAGAGAGAGACCACATTCACATAACGTTTATTACAGTATATTGTTATAATTGTTCTATTTTATTATTATTATTATTATTGTTAATCTCTTGCTGTGCCTAATTTATAAATTTAGCTTTATCATAGGTGTGCATGTAAAGGAAAAAACATAGTATATATAGGGCCCGGTATTATCATGGGTCCCAAAATCCCTTGGGGGGTCCCTGAACCAACCCCCCAAGGGTAAAGGGGGAACCATTTATTATTATTTACAAAATAAACATTAATCGAACCTAACTGTTAAAGGATTTGAAGAATTTCCAACTCTTTCTTTTTTGTTCCGTCATTCATTTCTCAGTCCCCTTTCTGGATAACAGCTATTATCAATGGGTGTGTCTCTTAGAACTTTCCAGAACTTTCTCCTTGCATTTTTGTGCATATCTCCTAGAAAGATACTGTTTTATAAAATTGAAAAATATATTTATTGTTCTTAAACTTGCTTTATTTTCTCACATAATAATGTCTTGGGGCATATATTTCCCTCAGTGGCAAATATAGTCCTATCTTATTTTAGTTGTTGCACAGCGTTATAAAATATGAAAGCACCATAGCTCATTAAAGCCTTTTCCTGATAGAGGTTGAACTATTTGCAATCACTGACATTAAACTATTTCTGTCCCACAAAATGGAATTTTCATGTGGTTCAACTTAATAAATAGTTCGTGTCCAGTTTTTTGCTTTTACAAGCATTACTGCTACAAGCATCTGGCAGTAGGTGCTCATGTGTTTACCTGGGTCAGAGTCTGAGATGCTGAATGGCTGGGACTCTGGGGATGTCTGATTGGAAGAAGTCTTGGGTTAAATCACAGACACCAATTCTGGCAGCTTCAGCAAAAAGCGGAGTTTATCAGCGGGCTCTGGGGCAGCTCACAGGATGGAGAGGACGGCCAAGGACTTGCTAGGCTCAGAACCAGTCAGGTCCAGACAGCCTCCATGGAGGTGGCCATTCCACAGCCTCTCAAGGGACCACCGGCTGATGAGTAGAGTCTGAGCTTTGCTTTGGGTTTTGACTTACTTCACACTAATCCCGAGAGAGGGCTGACTTCATGTCACAGGGAGGGGTCAGGTAGGGCGGGAGCACTTTCCAGGGACCCTGTCAGCTTCTGTAAAGAGAGGACAAAAAAGGGGGAAAAAAGTAGTATGAAGCTCAGAGCAGAAGAATAAGAGGACAGAACTAATAAGAAAGTGGATTCAATTTGCCAGGTACCAGAACCAAGTACAAAAATCAGTAACATTTTACCACACCAGCAACCATCAACTGGAAAATATGGGGTTGTCGGAAAAGTCATGATGCATTTTTGCAATGAAAAACAGAGAAAAAATATGTCATGACTTTTCTGACAATCCAATATAATTAAAAGTAAAACACCAGGTAAACTATCTAGGAATTGTCCATGTAATCTGTCTTAAGATTACCAAGGAAAAATGTAAAATTATATAAGGACACAAAGGGAGCTTTGAACAAATTGCATGCCCTCCAATGATGGCTCAATAAACTTTTTCCAAAACTTTCTGAAATTTCTGCAAATTTTCTGAATACAAATGTTCTGAAATTTGTATGAATAATGTTCCAACTAATAGCTCAACTTTGGGGAAAAAAAAAGACGAAAGGCAGAATACTCAATATACCATACATCCATAATAATAAAAACCACATGGTTCTGGTATTAGAGCCAGAACTGACTTCATAGGCATGCGACCTTTGTAGTCAGATGGGGGCCCACACTTAAAAGGCCCCTCTGCTTGCTTTAAGTGTGATTTGCTGTCACCATCTTGAAATTATTAATAAGTCTTTTTTTTAAAGATTTTATTGGGGTATTGGGGGAGGGAACACCATTGGGGAATCGTGGAAGGGGAACAAACAAGTTGCTGTCCTTTTGTTCTTCAGTCTAGTTGTGGAGGACGTCGCTTCACTGGCCCATGTTGGTAGTATCATTGTGCTCTTCCCTGGTGAGGCAGTCGCTTGCCGGCCATTGGACGGCCGTTCACTGCGGCTCATGGCAGCTACTTACAGTCGCTTACGGCAGCCCAATGCAGCCCCACTGCAGCCTACGCCATCACCGGCAACTCATGGCAACCCAGCTCCAGGTTGAGCTGTTGTTCACCATCTTAGCTATAGAGGGCGCAGCATCACTGGCCCTCATGTGGGATCCGAACCAGGGCCCTGATGCTCAGAGCTGGCATCCCAAGCCAACTCTTAACCAACGAGCCACTCAGCCGGCCTTATTAATAAGTTTTAAATAAGAGAGCCTGCATTTTCATTTTGCATTAGCCCTGCAAATTATGTAGCCAGTCTTGACTAGAACAAAGATTGTTCAAAGACTAGACCAAAAATTGCAGGCTCAAAAGAATGGATTTCTGTCAGGTGAAGGACACCATAGATAAAGAACTGACATAACTAAGAGTAAATATTTCGATGACTCAGGTAGACAAGGACCAATATATAGCATAATAAGGAGCTCTTGCAAATCAGAAAAGGAAAGTCCATTAAAAAATGGGCAAAGGATACAAACAGGTACTTAACAGAAAATTTACATGGCTGACAAAAATATACTGGCTTATTTGTAATTAGAGCAATGAAAATGAAAACAACAACTGGATATCATTTTACATCTATTAACTACCAAAATGAGATGGCTGGACGATGCAAAGAAGAGATAGGAAGCAGCATCCCTGGGGAAACACAGTCCCTCTGGAACGCAGCCTGGTGGGGTTCACGTGGTGTTTTGTACCTTATGACCCAGCAGTCCCACTCACAGGAGTATATGTGTAGTTAAGTCCTCATATAGGTCTATACAGGGACACGTAGGAGGAGTTCGTCTCCCTGAGTTTCTCTGGGTTGGAGGCCATCTATGTGTTCAGCACCTGGGGAACAGCTAATTCTAAGATGGTGATGAGTGATTATACAGCAGTTAGAAGCTCTGGACTAGATAAGCACAGTAACGCCATACACAGTACACATGTAGCAATGAGGGACGTATGTAGCAGCAGGAGATCTGAGGCACAAAGTCACTTATATAAATTAAAAATACAGCTACACAAAACAAGACCATTGACAAATGAGACGATACACATCAAACATATAGGGGAGGAGGGAGTTTGGGGAAGGGAAAGAGCAAGGGAAAGATGAAGCAAGATGAAAGAAAATGAACTATTTGAAACTACGGAAAGAAGGACATATACAAGCACAAACAAACCAAAAACTTTGCAGCGCCAAGTGCTAAGAGTGCCGTTAACTGTGCAACTTGATCACTGCACCCTTCTGCTCCTAAGATTGAAAAAAAAAATTTAAGGGCTGGCTGAGTGGTGCATTGGTTAAGAGTTGGCTTGGGACGCCAGCCCTGAGCACCAGGGCCCCGGTTCGGATCCCAGGTGTGGGCCAGTAACGCTGCACCCTCTACAGCTAAGATGGTGAACAACAGCTCGTCCTAGAGTGGGGCTGCGGTGAGTCTCTGGCTATGGTATAGGCTGCAGTGGGGCTGGCTGGCAGCTGATGTGAGCTTTCATGAGCTGCTGTGAGCAGCCGTGAGTAGCTGTCCAATGGCCGGCAAGCGACTGCCTCGCCCAGGAAGAATGCAATGATAATACCAACATGGGCCAGTGAAGCGACGTCCTCCACAACTAGACTGAAGAACGAAAGGACAGCAACTTGTCTGTTCCCCTCCCCCCAATTCCCCAACAAAATCTTTAAAAAACCCCACCCAAATCTAACTCTCTCCAAAATAAGATTCCACAAGATTGGATTAAAGAATTTTAAAGACACAGGTATTTTCTCCTGGTTGTATGAAGAGTGGGTGGGTGGAGAAAAACTACCAAGTTTTAACTCCCCAGAAACATTTATTTTTTAAAAGAACTCAAACCATTTATCTTTTTCAGCAACAAACCATGTAACCAACACAAGCGCATACATCATTGTCCTCCCTCAGTGACGAGAGGGACTGTGGATGCAAAATGTAGGCTCCGAGAGTGGCATCTGAATCTATCTGTCTCTTCTTTTTCAGTCATTTAAATTTGAGAGGTTTAAATGATAGAAATTAGTGCCTATAAATTTATTTGAAAGTGGCACAACTAAGCTAACATTGACCACTTCTTTTGCTTCGAAATTCAGTGTACGACTCTGTTGGGAAACTCGGGAGCAATATTCTCAGTGGAAACGTGGACAGGCTGGGGTCTTACAGTGAGTGCCTGTCCGCCCACGCCCCCTCGGGGAGCTTCCAAGGGCAGTACTGCAAGCTTCGCATCCTGCAGGTGAGTGTGGGGGATGTGCACGTGCTCTAGGAGGGCAAGTGAACGTCATGATATGGAACCTACTGCAACTCCACCAATTGCTTTGCTTAATTAAAAAAGAAACCTATGAAGATGTTTTGCAAAGAGTTAAAACTAAATTGTAAACAGGTGGCAGAAAGTGGCTTGCATGTTCTGAGGCTGGGACGTTGTAGGAGGCAGTTGTCCACAGAACAGGCCTTCAGAGGTTCCTCCTACTGTAATATGTGGGGAGAGACTGCTGTGGGACCTTAGTGGGGAGTTCAAAGTCAAGCCCCAGCCAGTGTTCCTGGGCATTAGCACCTGACTCACCCTCAGTTTTTGGAATACCAAAGGGAAGGTGGACTTCCCACTACCTATAACCCTTTTCCAGAAACAGAGCTCCAAAACATGACTGTAAGGTTATCTTAGTTGATGGGCTGGGACTTTTATGAATAGATCACTAAATCAGTTGACTGGGGTCCCAGGGCTCACTATCTTCAAAGCATGTTAATTCTTTTACTGCCAGGGTTGTTGTGGCTGGGGGGTGGGGTGGAGACCTAGGAACAGCACAGTCTTGTATTAAATATAAAGATAGGTTTTATGCATGTCACACAACACTGAAAGAAAACACATTACTGGTTGGGCAATAACAATAGCATAAAATAACAATAAGAAATCTGAGCTCTCTGATAGTAATGCCATAAAATGGTCTTACAACGGTTAACCACTGGAAATAGGAAGATTATCACCCAGCTCCATTTGTCCGGCTGAGAGTTATGATAATGATTGCTTGAGGGTATGTCCAAATGTCATATCCTGTTTTCAAAGCAGATTAATGGTTTTGATATCAGAGCAAAAGGTCAGGCCTACACAATCATGGAAGTTATATGTTTAGAAGCATCCCGGAAATTTTTCTTTATAATTAGATCTTTGCCTTATTGGAACAGGCATTCTAGTTATTGGTTTGATTTATTAATAAAGTCTTTATTTGATACATTGTGTCCTGCTATGAAGAAATAACAACTTGGCAATTTTGTTGAAACTTGTAAGAGTGTTAAGTCTTAATATGGGAGAGAGGTGCACTTGGCCAGACTATGTAGCTGATTATGTAAAGATAATCAGTGTGGGTGGCTGCTTTTTAAATAATCAGCTACCTGAAGCCTTGGAACATATTTTTATTTACATCTAGGTGCATCTGGCGCTGTGTGAATTCACTTGAACTACTCTGTTATGGAAAAGCCATCTCCAAAGAAGTCAGCCAACTTTTCTTCTTGTAATACCTTTCCCTTCCCTTTCCCAATGTGCTTAATTCACGGGCAGCAGCAGGCTTACTTAGAAATGATCGTGCATATATTCCATGGACAGTAACATCTGGACTGCTGTGGCCTTGTTTCCAGGACGGTGCTGACTACAGTGTGGGCGTGTGTGTCCCAGATTCTTGTGCCGAACAGGATGTGACTGTCATGTCTCGGCTGGGTAAGTCCACAACAAAACCCAGGGAAAGTATTGTCTTGGCATAAAATTTGAAAAACCCCAACTCCTTGGAGCCCAGAAAGGCCATTCTTTCAGGGCTGAACCAACCTTTCATCCTGATCAAGCCAATAAACTGAGACTAATGGAGTCTGGGGGTGGGGGTAGGGGGTGGACTTGGCAGTTTGGGTTTTTCCCTCACATTATGCAATTCTGACACTAACTACCGGGAGATTGTGCTGACCCCACACATGAAGGGCTCAGTCCCACGAGACTACCCCCTCTGTCAGATGCCAGTCAGAAATAGTGGGTCCCAAGGTTACCCACACTTCTCTCTGATTTGGTTACAAATCAGGGGTTTGTTCCATGACTCCCTCCGCAGGTTTGATAATTTGCAATAACAGGACAGAACTCAGGGAAACACTTCCCTCACTATTAATGGCTTATTATAAAGGACAAAACTCAGTAATAACCAAATGGAAGAGATGCACAGGGCAGAGCGTGGGAAGGGCACAGAGCATTCATGCCCTCTCAAGGTGGCGCACCCTCTCCGCACTTCAGTGTGTTCACCAGCCCAGCAGCTCTCTGAATCCCTTCCTTTAGGGTTTTTGTAGCGTTTCTGTGATGTAGGCACAGTTGATTAAATCACTGGCGATTGGTGATCACTCAATCCGCAGCCCTTCTTCTCTTCCCAGAGGCCAGCGATGGGGCTGCAAGTTCCAACGCTCTAATCACATGGAAGGTTCTTTTGGCAACCAGCCCCCATTCTCCGAGTGACCTTATTAGCATAAATTCAAGTATGGTTGAAAGGGGTTTATTATGAATAACAACAAATGCTCCTCTCACCCCTAGCGCTCAGGAAATTCCAAGGGGTTTAGGACCTCTGTACCAGGAACTGGGGATGAAGACCAAATATATATATTTCTTATTATATCACAATATCACACACATTATTAAAAGTCCTCTTTTAAATGTCGATATTGCAACTAGTTTTCAATAACCTTAAGTTGTCCTCCAAATTTCTGATTATCCCTACAGCTTCCCGTACGTTATCTATCTAGCCAAATATTTTATGTGATGTTAAAAAGAAAACCAATTGTTATAAATCAAAGTCCAATTTCTTGTTGGATAAGTCACAAATATCCTAGCAACAAAAATAAATTTGCAGAGTTCTTATTAGATTAGCATTTCAAGTGAATAAATGACTCCCTAAGTCTGAGTTAATGTTCATTATTATTTAAAAGATTTATCAGTTAGCCTGGTTTTATTTAAGGCTAAGCTGATTAGTCAGAGTTGACATGGAAGGCTAGAAACTATTATCAGTACAAAGATATATTTTCTATTTATGTTTTCAATTACAGTTGACATACAATATTATATTAGTTTCAGGTGTATAGCATAGTGATTAGACCTTTATATACCTTAACGATACCTTTGTGATCACCCCATAAGCCTATTCCCCATCTGACACCATACATTGCTATTACAATATTATTCACTATATTCCCTATGCTGTGCTTTACATCCCTATGACTATTTTAATAACTGGAAATTTGTACTTCTAATCCCTCTCCATTTTTCACCACACATCCCCCCAAGTCCTCTCCCATCTGGCAACTACCAATTTGTTCTCTTTTGAAAAGATATTTTGATGATTCTCTGAGGAACTGGAAATAAAAAAAGGGCCCTGGTTAGGGTGAGCAGAGCTGACTTGGTAGATACATTTGTGGAATTTAGTCTTCACGGCCAAGGCACTTCTCCAGCACCTGCACAGAGGCAGCAGATAGAAATGGGAGCGTCTTTGCCCAGGGGAAAAGGTCCCCATCTGGAAAGGATTTGTCAGCTATTCCTTAAAGCTTTTTGATGGAGTTGCCAATATTTCCTCTACAGATATGGGGGCAACCAGCTCAGCAACCACACGAGGAAGGCAACTTGACTCATCTAGGGCAGGCGCACAGGGGGCCAACACAAGGACATGCAGCTGACAAGCCAAGAAGAAACGAGCCCAGGATTGCAGAGAGGGAGGGGAAGGTTCTGGGCGGGGCAGAGCATATTGCAAAAGACTGCACGGTGTAGTTGCCGTAGGATGTTAGAAAAATGTCAACCAACAGACTTGAGAATGAAAATTCGTAACACCAGAGGGTTGAGATTCTAGATAACATTTGGGTGTGATGATTGCAAGCCCAATTATAGGCCCTAACAATTCATATCTGCGTATTTCAGTGTCACTTACTGTGTTCCATTTCCTGCTGATGGCTGGGGAGGAAAAATTTTCCTCCTACCCTTCTAGGTTCTTTGGCTGGTCTAATAATTAAATTGACACAAGTCCGACTAACAGGAGAAAACCAGTTTTTTAATTTCGTACATGTAGGAGCCCCATAGAAATATGAAACTCAAGGGCAAATCAGGCAGTCGAGGCTTATATGCCATCTTAAGCTAAGAACAGGATAGGAGCCTGGGGCTTCACAGGAGAGGAGAATAATTCATAGGAGAGTAAGAAGAGCAGGTGTTGGCACTTAGATGTTTGCCTTGCCATACAGATAGGTTGTTCAGATAAAAGTTATCTCTGGTAATAGCGCTTTTTCTGAGCGAGGTCCCCATCTTATTTCTTTAGGCAGTTTGGGGTGACACGTTCACCTGTTCTTCAGGACCCTGTAACAAAGTCCCATAACCTGGGTGGTTTAAGATGCCTCACTCTAATCTCTACCTCATATGGTGTTCTGCTCTGTGTGTCTCTCTGTGTCCCAATTTCCCACTTTGTATAAAAACAGAAATCATACTAGATTTAGGATCCACCCTAACCTAGTATGACCTCATCTTAAGTTGTTTATATCTGCAAAGACCCTATTTCCAAATAAGGTTGTATTCATAGTTCTGGGTGTTAGGGCTTGAACCTTTTGGAGGGGACACAATTCAACACAGAAAACTACCTAATACCTAGTTTCTTAGTTCAGTTAGTTATATGAGGTCCCTTAAACACAGCAGGGAGGTGGAAGGCTAGTGACTCAGCCACTTAGCCCAAGGCTCTGGATTTACAACATGCTTGATAAGCATTGGACAAACCTGACTGAAGTTTGATTGTGAGGCAAAGGACCTCATCTGGTTATAGGGACAGCACACACCTGACAAAGGAGCTTGGTTTTAGGGACCGTTAACACTGAGTTAGCAAACTTGATCTAGACTCAACTTTGAAAGGCTGCGTATTTCCATGCTTAGGGACCCTCTCAGTCTGTCTCCTGTCCTGACGGAAATTTTAAAACATCAAATGGTGATCACAGGGGCTCCGTTTGCAGTGGCCCAAAGCAATGGGTACTGAGCTGCTCACAATCAATGTTTAACAGTCCCTTACAATATGCTCTAATCTGTCCTCTTTCCTATGCTCTAGTAGGCGAATTTCATCTTGCTTTGCCAATTATAATTAGAATTATGAGGCCCCCGTTGTAGAACAAAATGGTGTTAGAACTTCAAGGGATGACGTCTTCCCCCATTACTGTCTCTTGTGGCTTCACTTGTGTGCTGATTGAGAAAATGGAGCTATCCTAATAATAACTCCTTGAATCACCCACACAAGTGCCTTTCCATTAAGGACGCAAAAGGAATCCAAAACATTTCACAGGATACCATTTTCTGTTCTCAGTGTAATTCAGAAAATATTTGTTGAGCACTTTTATATCTGGCCTTTGTGTGAAACATCACGTGTGTGCACTGGGGGACCGTCAAAACAATTGGAAGTTCCTCATTTTGGGAAACCCAGGATTTAGTTATTATGGTAAGAAAAGTGAGTGTGTGCCTGAAGCTGTTGGGAAAGCCTCAGGAAATAAATGCTCAGTCTCACATTGAGTGCTAGGTACGGGCAGACAGGCAGAAGAGCTTTGGGGTGCAGGAGAAAGAGAACCACACTGCAGAGGTTGAAAGGGGGGGGGTTAGAGCAAGAACGTGAACTGGGCTGTTTTAGTGATGAGCTGGGAGGGACACGATGAGATGTTGGTGGGAAACAGACCAAATAAAAGTTTCAGATAAAGGTTGCATCTTTCCCTGTGGAGACCCGGAACCTGGCACAGTATAGACACTTAAAGTTGATTGAATGTGCATGGGCTACCAGTTGGTTTTCTTTACCATGGCAGGAATCAGAGCCCAGTGAGGGTGCTTCTTCTCAGAGCTGCTGGGACCTGAGGACATTGATTTGGGTCATCAGGAGAGGTTGGACAAGTCCAGCAAACCCAACCATCCATCAGCAGCCCCAATCCTTGAGAGCCTTGGCCTGGTTCCCAGTCCATGAGCTGCACCACTGAGCATAGCAATTTGGCGAGAGTCCCTGTGTTTGTTTTCCGGGGCTGCCTTAACAGAATACCACAGCCTGTGGAGCTCAAACAAAAGAAATGTATTTCTCACAGCTCTGGAAATCCAAGATTAAGGTGTTGGCAGGGTTGGTCTCTCCAGGGGCCTCTGCCCTTGGCGTGCAGATGGCGCCTTCTTACTGTGTCTTTACCTGGTCCTTCCTCTGTGCTCACACATCTGCGTCCAAATTTCCTCTTCACAGAAGGATGCCAGTTAGATGGGATTAGGGCATACTTCAATGGCTTCATTTTAACTTCATCACTACTCTAAAGGCCCTAACTCCATATACAGCCACACTCTGAGGCACTGGTGGAAGACTTAGGGCTTCAACATATGAATTTTGGGGGGACACAATTCAATCCAGAACAGTCTCTTTTCAAAGTCCCTTTGAACTTGATTTTGGGACCTGTAGGGTTCAATTCTGTTCTACTCATTTTCTTCCCCTCCTGACCCTGCCCTTAGGGTCTCCAGAGTCTTGTAATCAACAGGAGAGGAGGGTGGATGCTTTGGAGGAATGGGAGGTGGTGTCTGTAGTGCAGCCCTCACACCTAGGCAAGAAGAATCTTGTCCTGGGCTCTGTACTTTAGGGACCTCTCCCCTGGCTTTCCTCTGGATGTCCTCCCCATTGGATGAGATGTCTAGAGGGCCGAGAGGACATGCCCCCCCCCCGGAGCCTACCCCTTCCCTTCCAGCTCACATTCTTAGTGTCTAGGACCCCAGAATTCCCTGCCCAGTAGGCTCCCAGTGTCCTCTAGGGAGTGAATGCAGTGGGGGTGAGGTTAAGGGTGGAGCACTCCGATTAGAAGCACAGCACCTGGGGTCTTGTTAGAGCTGCAGATTGTCAGGTCCCACCCCAGACCTACTGGATCAGAAGCTTGCAGGGAGGAGAGGCAGGAAGAATCTGTTTACCAGGCCCTCCAGGTAATTCTGAGATGGGCTATAATCTGAGACCACTGCCCTAGTCTTACCACTAATATCTTTATAAACTCTTTCTTGCGGTGGCTAATTAGCTGTGTCCTAAGTCGGGCTTCTTAGCTTCAATTTCAGACAGCACCTTTCCCCAGCTTGTGGGCTTCCATCATATTGTTCCACCTCATGTTGCATTTGCCTCTCTGTGGGGACCTGCTCGCAAATAGATGTGAGCTGGCAGTGGTGCCTTTTTAGGATTGTCATTCCCAGTGCTGTGTGTTGGGAAAAGGATGTGAGAGCCTGGGCAGGGTGAGAATTCAGGAGACCAGTGGTCCACCTCCAGCTGGGCTCCAAGTTCCTAGTTCTGTGAGTTTCAGCATCTTTGTGCCCTATTTCCCCCATAAAATCAGATCTATTAAAACCCAGCTGTCCTTTTTAATGTCGAAATTTTGTTTTGAAATAACAGGTGTGTAAGCTCTTGGAAAAGTATAAATTATTTATTGCCAAATAAAGTATTATTAATACAATCCTTCTTTTCTTTTTTCTGGGTAGATATTTTGAGATTCAGAAATGCTTCATTTCTGGCTCCTCCTCTCCCTCTCTTTACCATGAATTCGTCCTCCTCGTCTGGTGGGAGTGTGGCCACATGTGCTACTGGAATGTTCCCCCTCGACACGTTTGTTGCCGTGTGTCTGTGAGTACTGGCATCTGACGTGCCCGGTTGGTATCCAGGTCAAGGCTGTTTTATCAGCTTCTGCTCACCAACAACACTTAGCCGTGTAACTTTCAGCCATTGAGTGATATCTGGTCAGTGCTGCCTGTGTGCAGGCGGATGACCATTTTCCTTAAACAAGAAAATTCGAGTGTTCTAGAGGAAGGCTGGCCACACCCAGATGTGACTGGGTTTCTGGGCCACTGAGAGATGTATCCCATCCCCAAATATCCCTCTTCCTGTCATGTACCACTGAAGGGTAATTTTTCTTATTCGAGGCGTTGCTTCTCCCACAAACACCTTGGCAGTCTTGCCGGTTGCTTCTTGTTTGCATCTTGCATTGTTCCTTAGAACAACTAATAGAAGTAGAATTGCTGGTCCGGAGCATGAACCATTTGATAAGGTGCTTTCCTGAAAACCCTCATTCAAACTGCCCCAGCAGATGTTCATGTCTGTTTCATCACCCTGTGACCAGCATCCAAAGCTACCTGTATAAAAAACCAGTACCAATTTAATAGATATATAAATGGGTTTAATTTACATTTTAGAAAATTGGTAATGAAGGTCTCTCCCCTAAGTTTACATATCTGCTCTCCATACGCCTCACTCCCCTTTCCATGTGTGTATTTGTTGGGTTCTTATGGATTTTTAAAGTTCATTGTATAGAAAAAGGACGTGAATCCTTAGTCATATCAGCTGCAAGTATCTTCCTCAGTGTTTTGGTTGCTTTTTGTTTCTTTCTTTTTTTTTTTTTTTTCTGAGCCATCCCGCCACCTGTTGGCAGCTCCGCGGCTACTCAGCTCGGGCTGACTCGAACCACTGTTGCTCAGAGCTCAAACTCTTGAGCGAGCTCTTAACCAACTGAGCCACTCAGCCGGCCCTGTTTCTTTCTTTATGATTACTTTTTTACAATTATAATGAGCTCGGTGCAACCCCTTAATCTTTTACTTTGTAATTTCTTTCACTTGGGTATTCTCAGAAAGCTACTTCCAACCCTTACAAGTGTTCAAGATATACCTGTATTCTAGGAGGGGTTGCGTGGTTTTGTTTTTGTGGAGCTGTGTCCTCTGTGTCTTTCTGAGGTGTCAGTGTGTGGGAATTCTTGGCCACACGTGTGTGTCCTCTCTCTGCAGGTTCCTCGCCATCCTTGGCCTCGTCCTTCCTCTGGCTGGAACCATGTACGTGGCAGCCAGAGGGTGGGGATCGGACCACAGGGTGTCCGCTGCACACGGGACACCTTTGGCCACTTACGGGACTCTGCCTTTGAGAGAGATGGAGAGGCGTGAACAAAGAAACAGGACCCAATGGACACGTTGCCTGGCCCATCTCTCATGTTCAGGAACCCCGAGCAGAGGAAACAGTAGGCATTTTAATGAACTAAGACCACTCGTGAGAGGTGATTTTTTTTTT